CCACAGGATCATAGCTAGCAAGAGCCACTTGCGTTTCAAAGCCTGCCTCAGACGCCTCACCTGACCTGCATCAGCCACTCAGCTGGAGGCAAACTGAGGCATCAGGTAGGCAGCTGCTCCACCTCCTGGAAGTGGTTTCCAGCAGTGCCTTTTGATAACCTCCCCATCCTCCCTACACTCAGCGGTTCCCTTTATATGGCTTCTCTGAATTTTCGCTGAGCTGAATAAGAACATCAACTCCTTGAATATAAGGAAGAGACTATAAACTGTGCTGTCAGAGCAGCGAGGTTTCTGTAGCAGACCAGCACAGCTGTCCCTGAGCCTTTCCCCTGCACATAACACATTTTCCAGGGCACTCACTGTGATACTGAACCAGCTCCCTCGTGTTCTATCTTGTCTTCTCTTCCTCATTTCTCTTTCTGCTGGTTTCCTATCTCTCCACACAGTAATATGGATGCGGTCTTCATTTTGCAATCTCACTCTCCTCTCGTCCTGTCGGTTGCCATAGGGAGTGCTGTGGGGTGAAGTGGGGAGAAGCAGGGTGGGCGTAAATACTAAGAAAATCTGCTGCTCATCCTTGCCTCTCTGACACCAGGACCACAACTGGAATGGCTGAATCCTACTTCTCATCCAGCTTCCTTCAGTCTCCCATGAGAGCGGATTGAGAAGGCCATGAGAGTGGTCTGTTGCATAGTCCCGGGGGCCTCTACATGTGCACCAGGCTGCCTAGCCACTTACTGCCTCACTTGGGAGCGCTCCTGGCCATCTCTCATCTTCCTATTTCCATTTGTTTCCCGGAAGTATGAAGAGTGAGCTCCATATTCACTGTGGTGATACTGAGGGTTCCTGTTGCCATAGTCACCTGGAAAAGAACGCAAACCTTTCTTTTTCCTTGAGGTGATCTACCTCCATCATTACATCCTGAAAAGTGGAATGAAATTGTATATTGAAAATAGACAATGGGTTCATTTATCATGTAGCATGTCTTAAGCTAAGCCTGTGGCAGGGCAAGAAAAGTGCCAACGTGCCATAAGGGACTGATCACACAATCCCTAGCAAGGAATGCTGTCTGCTTGTCTAGACAGGAGAGCCTTTTCTTCCAGAATGCAGTCTCACGTGAGAAAGCTTGGAGGGAGAGGACAAGATGGTTAAGGGAGGAGAGGGAGACAGAAGATGTGTCGTAGCATAAAAATAAAACCATATTTTATAGAGAATAAAGATACTTTACTTCATGGGTGATTCCATGGTTTAGACTGGACCCCAGCCTTATACCAAGAAGACCTTTGCATCTCTACTTCTGGTCTCTCTAACACCTTCAGGTGCCAATACCTGGAAGGCAAACTCTATCAGACTTCCCAAATACAATCAGTCACCAAACTGAGTCCAATAACTATCTGCAAGCTCTAGGTTCTTTAACAATTCAGTACAATCTTTAACTTCAGGGAAGACTGATGTAACAGCCTCTTAAGCGGTCCACCTTCTTCTAGTCTTGTTCTAAACAATATTCTCTTAGAAATACCCAGAGAAGGCCCTCCCGGGTGGCACAGTGGGTTAAAGCACAGCACTAAGAAGCTAGAGCTATTTCAGCTTGAGTTCGAAACACATCCACCCGAGGTGATCCACTGGCTCAGCAGACCTCTCCTGACCCGCCCGCTGCTCCCCTCAGCAGTGTACTTTGTCGATCTGCCTGTTCTGCTCCCCACTCTGTCTCTGGTGAAGCCTCTCGCCACCCCTGCACCTCTGGCCTATACCCCAGTTCTGTATGCATAAATAAATAAATCTTAAAAAAAGAGAAATATCCAGAGTAAGCTTTCTGTTTTCTCAGTCTGAAATGCCTTCATCTCTGCCTAATCTCAAGTCTTCATAGCAAGGAGCAGAAAGATGATAGTAATGATATGTTAACTATCACTTCTAAGTGTTTAAGGATTCCTATTTTTCTTTCTAATATAGACTAATAATTTAACTCTATTATGACAAGAGAACACACTTTTATGATTTCAATTCGGTTGAAATGTATTGAGGTATATTACGATCCAAGTGATGCTCTATCTTGGCAAATGTTGCCAAGACTTTTGAACAACAGTATACTTTTGAAAAACAGTATATTCTATTGACGATGGGTAGAACATTTTATTTGTTTCAAGTAGAGGCTGTTAATTTACTGTCTTATTTAGATGTCAAATTTCCTGATGTTATTTCTAGTAATCAGATCACTTACTTTAGTGGAAGGTTTTTAAAGCCCTAAGAATCATTATAGATGGGGTATTTCTACTTTCAGTTCCATTGGATATTGCTTTCTGTACACTGAGATCTTTTGTTTGTTGTATACATATTTAGGACTCTTATTTCTCCTTGTTGGATTGACCCTTTCATCATTATGTAATGTCCCTTTTTGTTCTTACTCATTTTCTTTGCTCCAATGTCTGCTTCACTGGATATTGTAGCTACAGTTAACTTGTAAGGTTATAGGAGTTGTATTGCTATTCACCTACCCTCTAAAATAACAGTCACTGCTAACCTGTCAAATTTACCATGTGGAAAGATTATGACTTACTGAGCATCAACGGAAATAAAAATTGCCTCGATTTTCTCTCCGGTATGTGGATTCACTGAGTATACTTTATTTTAACCAACTTCAACTGGAAAAATAAGATGTATCAGCAGACAATATGTACTAGTTTCTCTAGAAAAAGGAGGATTCAGGCAAGTATTCTGTAAAAAAATCTCTGAGTGTTCTAATATTCAAGGTTCTCTAGGTTATTGTGCCAATTACTCTATGCTTCTACAGGACACACTTAAGAGTAAAACTCTATACACTGCTGAACACTGCAGAGTAATCTGGCAAGATGTCAGTGGAGTTTGTCTCTTCCATATACTTTTTTTTTAAGATTTATTTATTTATTTATGCATACAGAACTAGGGTACAGGTCAGAGGCTCAGGGGCGGCAAGAGGCTTCACCAGAGACAGAGCGGGGAACAGAACAGGCAGATCGACGAAGTACACTGCTGAGGGGAGCAGCGGTCGGGTCAGGAGAGGTCTGCCGCGCCATGTGGTCACCTCCGGGGCAGGTGGGGATCGAACTCATGCAGAAGTGGCTTCAGCTTCTCAGTGCTGTGCTTTAACCCGCTGCGCCACCAGGGAGGGCCTCTTCCATATACTTTTAACTCAACTGTTACAAGAACCTACTCTTAGCAACAAAGATAAGCAGAGACTTAAAGCCTAGAAAATATTCCTACTAACAAATGGGAATCATAAAAGTCAGGAAAAACTCTACTGACATGAGGTAACACAGATGCAATTTAAAAATCCACTGAGTAAGGGCTGCCATTACATTATTAACAGCCTAATACAAAATGATGAAAGATCACTCAGTGAATATGCAGTGAATGCTGGAGCACCAAAAATAAGGAGGATAACAACTGACAGCGCTAAAGAAAGGTGTCAACAACACAATAATACTAGGGAATTTTAATAGTCCACTTATAACTATAGGCAGATAAATAAATGAGAGAATAAATAAAATATAGCTTTAAGTGGGAGACTAGATTAAATATGTTTAACAGGTAGCACTAGATAATTCCACACAAAAACCTCTGCATATATGTAAAATAAGAAAATGGAAGGACAGACCGTACTAATGGATGAGAAGGATCAACATAATCAAAACAAATATCCTTTCTAAAGAAACATATACATTTAATTCAATCCTAATCAAAATACCAACAGTATTCTTCAAAAATACTGAAAAAAAAAAAAAAAAAACAGTTTGGAAATTTACATGGAACCACAAGAGGCCTCAAATAAAAAAACCAATCCTAAGAGAAATGGAGGTATAATACAGCCTGACCTCAAACTTTACTATAAACCAACAATGTTAAAAATAATCTAACAACTGCACAAAAAATAGATATGTGAATCTGGAATAAAGTAAAAAACCCAGAATACTTCCATATACATATCAGTGCCTGAAGTGTGAAAAAGCACCCACAATTATACAATGTGGAAAGCAAAGTCTGTTTAATAAATGGTATCTGGAAAGCTAAAAGGCCATGCACAAGAGAATGAAGCTGTATTACTGTAGTTCCATAAACAAAAATAAACCCCTCACTGGGTTAAAGATTTAGATATAAGCCCAGCAACAATAAATACATAGAAGAAAACATTGGTGATATGTTGCATGATGTCAATACAAAATGTTTCTGGACACTCAGTTATTATAGTAAGTGAAATAAACACAAAAACAAACAACTGGAATTAACACAAGAGAAAAATTTACATAATGAAAAAATATAAGATTAAAGAAGACATATTACTGCACAGAGGAAAAATTCACACTATATATAACCAACTCTGAACATGGCATGTAATGAAAAGAAACCAAAAACAAGTGATGGAGAGGAAACAGAGAAAGAGGAGTCCTATCACACTGGTGGTGGGAATGTGAACTGGAAAACAATCTGGATTCATCTTGCAATACTAAAAATAGACCACATGATGCAGCAATCCAACTGTCTTCTGTTTATCCACAGAAAACTAAACCATTAATGCAAAACCTATTTTGCT